AGCGGGAGGGAGCCGGGGCAGAGGGTGGAGGGGGGTTTGGAGCAACCGGGGGAGCCTTTGGGGCAACTGCAGCCACCGGGGGGACACTGGAGTGCAGTGGGGAGCGGTCTCTTCTACAGTGCCTGCAGTGAGAGGGCAAGGGGAAATGGCCTTAATCTGAGACAGGAGATTCAGATATCAGGAAAAAAAATCATAAAATATGCTGAGTTGGGAGGGACACACCGGGATCATCGAGACCAACACTTAGCTCTGCACGGGACATTCGAACGATCCCATCCTGTGCCTGAGAGCATTGTCCAAACGCTTCTGGAGCTCTGGCAGCCTTGCAGTTATGGCCATTGCCTGGGGAGCCTGCTCAGTGTCCCAGCACCCTCTAGGAGAAGAACCTTTTTCTGCTATCCAACCTAACCCTCCCCTGACACAGCTCTATTGTGACAAACACTTTGGTCATCTCTTCAAGGCACCACTGCTGTCAGAGATGGCACAGGGTTTACAAAGTTGACAGTTTTTGACAATGCTGAAAGGCCAAAGACTTGTGTTTGGGTTTTTTTGTGGGTTTTTGTTTGTTTGTTTGGTTGTTGTTTTTTGTTGTTGTTGTAGAGAGGTTTGTGAGAGACCATGATCCCGGCTCCCCTCCACCCAGTGGGGCAGCAGCTGCATCAGAAGCTTCGAATCCCAGCCAAATTGCCTCTTCATACAGATAGGAGATCCATCCTCGGGATCATCAGCCCGACACGCGGGGTTTGGGTTGGGTACGGTGTGATCCTCTTCTTTTGTTTACTTCCGCAGGCCTTCGACAGCGTGGGTGGCAATTCCTGGAGAAAATGAACCCCCTGTTACCGACGGAGCAGAGACGAGTGAGCCTGAGAACTGGTTGGTATTTTCGGCATCCCGAGAGCCGGTTGGAATTCACGGGTAAGGCCTTTGCTCTGCTACGGAACGCCACGCATGGGCTGAATGCCTGGCTGTGGTTGTGCAGGCGCTGCTGCACGCCATAAATCCAGCTCCTGGCGACAGGGACACTCCAGAGCCTCCGCGCTATTCTCGCCGCGGTGCCTCGGGCTCCGGGCGGTGCCTCCGCCGCTCGGATCCCGGGAGAGGGCAGCAAGAGCCCGCCGGTGTCGGGTGGAGGTTTCCCGGTGCTGGCATTGGGCTGCTTCGTGCGATGGAGCCAATTCTGGAACTCCTTCCGAAGTGATGTGTTAGCGTTCGCTCAGATCTTGCCCCACAATATCCCTCTTCCACGACCAAGGGCAGAAACCCGCCAGGAGGGGAGCGGAGAATTCCTTGCTCTGCTTTTCCCTGCGGATAGAGCAGGGCACGTTTGGTCCTTCCTACATTCCCGCAGGAGACAGTGAGAATCCTTCATCCTTATTCTGAGCAGGATCTGCATCTCTCATCATGCACGTCCAGTATTGGCTGCTCTAGAATATCAAGTCTTGGGGGGTGCAAGATGTGAGATTAACAGTTTATGTGTTTTCTGACTTCTGAGTCCTTAGAGCACCCTCAGATCATTTTCTTCCAAGCTCCTCCCTAAAATCTAAAATCTAACATGAAATCAGAAAGGCAGCAAGACCCACAGTTGATAACTCAGCTGAACAAAGATCCAGGATTGTCAAGTTGCACTTTTTGTGCCTTGGTGTCACTGGCAACCTGGTCTCTTGCAAATTCACCCCCTTTGAAGCCCCTGCTGTGTCTGCCTTTCAGATGTCAGCTTCCAGAATGGTTTTATGTTCCCAACATGGCAATTTATCCACTGGTTAACTTGGAGCTCTGCTCTGCACTGTCCACAAAGCTGTCACTCATTCTCTGTTACTACTTACAAAAGCCAGTAGTTCTTTGTCATTTAATGAAGTGAGTCCAGTGTCTTTAATAATCCCTTTCTGGCTCTTTCCTTCCAACTGAGTAACACGAAACTTGCTTTTCCTAGGATAATCTATAGACGTAGATATTGGGCAACGAAAATGCAGAAGGATGTGATTGTGTTGGACCAGGAGAAGACAAGTTTAAATTCAGTGTTATATCT